ATACTCTAAGTTTTTATGCCAGTAAATTTCACCTTTTCTATTCCAGGCAAGCTACCCCTAAAAGGTCAGCAAGGGGGAGAAGAGGAATAGGAGGCAAGGCTGTTTGATAATGTCAGTAACAATGAGGTAGAAATGAACACATTTCCTGTGAGTTGTTGGGAGCAGATCAAAAAAAAAAGGAAGAAAAGAGTGGCCTTACAAAAATTCTCAATCATCAAATAAGTTGATCACAGGGAGAGTAGCACGTAGCACGTAGCACAGCAAGAATATAGTCACTGATCCTATAACATCTTCCTATGCTGACAGATAGGAACTGCACTGGAGGGGGTGAGGATTTAATAATACGGGTAATTGTTGAACCACTGTGTTGTATACGAAACCAATAAGATTGTATACCAATAATACTTCAATTAAAAAAAGTGGCCTTCTCTAAGAGCAAAGAAAAGGTATTTGGATAAATTTAGCGTAACATTTATAAGTGTTAAATGGCCTCAAAGGACCTTTGATTACCATTTTTACTAGACTATTATTCTACTTATGTGAAGAAAATAAAACTCAATCCAAAGAATGCTATTTCTAAGTAAGAAACCTTTTATTAATAGAAAAACACTATTTAAATACTGGAATAGGGCAAGGCCAAGAAAATAGTGGGTTCTCTTAGACCATTCAAAAATGTTCCTCTGAACTTGTATCTGCCCATATAACTCCTTGCTTAATTCTAGATACTCTGGGTCAAGAATTCTCTTGAAGATACCAGTCTAGAAACGGAAGCAGAAACAAAGGCACTTTAATGTACCTTGTTCTTATTTAAAGCATGTTGAACCTTGGTGGCCAAGATTTTCTTTTTAAGGCTTCTTTACCACAAGCCTTTAAAAAGATTCTGGAGTGGCTAAGGAGCCTGGAGGTGATAATCTCACTCTACCTACTTGTTTGCCCATTTAGAGATGTTTCGATTGCTTTCTCCATGTTTTCTCTAGAGTCTGACTGACCAATACAGCAGCCACTTAGCCACGAATGGCCACTTAGATTTAAACTGATTAAAGTGAAATAAATATAAAATTCACTTCCTCATGCCCGCAAACTCAGTTTTCAGTGCTCAGTAACTCCATGTGGCTACTGTCACTGTTTAATAATGCAGAATTATTTCCATTGCTGTTCCAGGCCATTAGCACTGGTTTGGTGATTACAAGGGCCCTAATTCAAGACAAATTTGTCCCTGGGGTTTCATGTAAAAACAATTGACTTAGACCCAATGCTTGGCTACTACTGAATTACCAGCAATTACAACTAAGGGAGGCCTGTAACAGCCACTGGGAAACCCCACGCCTCCTCAAAGCACCCCTGACGTCAACTTCAGCCTCCTAGAGAGGTGAGACTCAGGCCCGTCCAACTTCAGGCAACTGTTCAATCTTCCCCTAAT